AGGATGACTTTTAGAAAAAATCACCTTCTATGTAGTTTAGTGTTTCTGTTCAGTGTCGTTTAGCTCTTAAATTGATAATTATATGAGATCTGATTAAAAAAAAACACTACAGCCTAGACAGATTAACAGCATTAAGCTTTATTTTTCATATTTGAAAGTCATCAAAATGATCAGAATTATTCAAAACCATTAAATATAATTCTGAAAACATTTTTACTTATAATTCGGTGAACATTTTTATTGATAAATATGTTTACTTAAAAATAATTCGTGAAGGTTTCATATCAAAAATCTTAACTAAATATTTTTAAGTAAACATTTTTAGTGATAATTTTGCATTGTTAGTGTTTTTCTTCTCTGAACTCAATCAACTTAATTCATAATATATACTTTCTAGATAGTTCCTGCTAAAAATATCAAATATGATTGTTCGTCTGTCAATTTATAGCAGGGGTCACCAATCTTGATCCCTGCAGGGTTTAGCTCCAACTTGCCTCAACACACCTGTCTGGGTGTTTTAAGTATACCTAGTAAGACCTTGATTAGCTTGTTCAGGTCTGTTTGATTAGGGTTGGAGCTAAAATCTGCAGGACACTGGCCCTCCAGGAACAAGTTTGGTGACCACTGCTTTATAGCATAAATTTATTACATAGGGTGGCACGGTGGCTCAGTGGCTAGCACTGCTGCCTCACAGCAAGAAGGTCGCTGTTTTGAGCTCCGACTGAGTCAGTTGACATTTCTGTGTGGAGTTTGCATGTTCTCATCGTGTTCCTGTGTGTTTCCTCCGGGTGCTCCAGTTTCCCCCACAAACCAAACACATGCCCTATAGGTGAATTGAATAAATTAAATAAATACAATTATAAATATAAATACACATTACATTACATTACATATTGGCCATAGTGTATGTGTGTGAATGAGTGTGTATGGGAGTTTCACAGTGATGGGTTGCAGCTGCAAGAGCATCCGCTGTGTAAAACATATGTCAAATCAAAATCAAATCAGGCTTTTATTTGTCACATACACTTTCGCATAGTGCAATTGAACCCCCCCCGACCGTACACAAACATCACAATTTTCAGGGGAAGACAGGTCACAGGAGGTAGCATTTAGAAAGGCAAGTAAGATACTTCAGGAAAATGAGGCAAAAAAAACACCCTCTAACCTTGATCTTGATTATAAGTTTAAAAAAATGTATATCTGTGGGTCACGTGTGTTCCATGATTCGTATGGAGCACAATGCACGGTTCGGATCAACCATGATCCGTTACAGCCCTAGAGCAAACTGTTTCTCACTATTAAAGGGCTGACATCTTGTTTTGATGTCCTTCAGGACAGATCAAGCATTAAATAGAGGAGGCAATCCCCCCCAAACCCCCCTGTAATTCACACCCTGTCTATATGATATGACAAAACTACCATTTTCTAAACCATAAATAATCAGTTTCATTTTGAAATATTACTATAACGTCCATGAAATGTCCGTTTTATCAGGTCATACAAGATCTTAAACCCAAACCAGCATGTTTGCATGAATAAATGAGAGGTCTGCTGTGCTGATGTCCATGTATGTGGTGCATCAGCTACCTGAGAGTCAGCATGAGAACGGCGACTTCAGCCTTATTTGAAAACCGGTCACATCATCATACAGCCTGTTGCTAAGCGCTGCATTAGCCCATTATATCCATAATGCTGCCACTTCTAGAAGTACGTCTGACTGTCACAGGTTTTGCAGTGCAGCTTTCATCACGGATATTTCACAGCAGACAGACACACACACACACACACACAGTCGCAACAACAACAGAAATATAAATGATGTGGAACCAGATTTTTCCAGTTTCTAGGTGCTCACGCTACATCTTCATAGGCAGATGGCGTTATGATTCATACGAGGTGCGCTGCAAACAACAGCTTTTATAAATGTTCAGGAAACAGCAGCTCTGTGACTAATACGGACAAAACATCTTATTTAAAAATGGCTATTGGGAAACTGCAGGCAATTATGTGGCAATTAATGTCTGTTTTAAAACAGGTACACTATAGGGTATAATCCGAGCTAGTGCTGTTCCCATGCTGATACACTTCCGGTGACCTGTTATTGTGAACTTTTTCTCATTTTATACGGTTCCTTATACAGCATTGATGTTGTAATGTCATTAAAATACATTCAGTTAAATAAACTTTAGCATTTATTTAGTTGCTCAAGCGTAAAACGAGACAAAAAGCTGTTGACTCGCACCCGCTCGTCAGAATCGGCAGTCTAACGCAGAAGCTCCATTGAATATACTGGGGTAAAATAAATGCTCATATAATAAAGATATGGCGGGGGAAATGTAATTTAATGCAGTGCTTCTTGTACAATCTGAGACCCACTTTATATCGGATATCACTCAGCTAGTGGAGATTTTAAAGAAAACTGACCTTAAACGCACCGGATTTTGCATTGGCATTCAATTCGCCGGAAGCGCTTAACCCAGGTTAATGGCAAATTAAAAGTCCTATTAGCATGCTTCGGCATATACCCCATTGTTTCTTTTGAGAAAATGAGAAGTATGCTGGTTATGAACTGATGATTTGGAGACTAAATTCACAGATTCTAAATGAATATGGTAAGCTGCTGCATAGCTTGATTTTGAACTTGCCTTGTGTTAGTGTATCAGAGGAACAGAGTTTATTGTTAGTCAATAAGGCGACGCAGTGGCGCAGTAGGTAGTGCAGTTGCCACACAGGAAGAACGACACTGGTTTAGACCTGGGCTTGGTCAGTTGGCGTTTCTGTGTGGAGTTTGCATGTTCTCTCACTTAGGTTTCCTATACGGGTGCTCCGGTTTCCCCCACAGTCCAAAGACATGCAATACAGGTGAATTGGGTAGGCTAAATTGTCCAGATAGTGTATGAGTGTGAATGGGTGTGTCTGGATGTTTCCCAGAGATGGGTTGGGCTGGAAGGGCATTCACTGCATAAAAACGTGCTGGATAAGTTATCAGTTCATTCCGCGGTGGCGGCCCCGGATTAATAAAGGGACTAAGCCGAAGGGAAAATGAATGAATGAATAAATATAAAATACATTAATTGTACATACCAAACCAATGATATAATAATGATAATAAAATCAGAGAAATTACAATATTTAAATAGCCTAGTATAAATGAAATTGAAAAAACAACACACAAGTAGACTATAATTTAAACATGCTAAATAATATTTGAAATAAATATATGGAATAAACCGTATATACACTGCCTATATTCCCAGAAATGGGATATATATACAATGTATTTTGGTGCATTTTCAACAACGCAGATTTATTAAACAGATGTAGTTAATAAAATAATATTTTAGTCATAAAAACATATTTAAAAATTGAAAAATAATGCAATTAAATTCAAGCAAAATATTGCAAAAAAAAATTACAACCTAAAAAATGTCAACTAAAATGTAATTTTTTGCCTCTGTTTTAAAAGAAATAATATTTTATTATATTATTATTTTATTATTTTAATAAAATAATAAAATTATACATTTAAAAAAATAATATACATTTTTTTATTAAAATAAATGTATTTTATTTGATTAAATATTTTTTTATTTTATATATATATATATATATATATATATATATATATATATATATATATATATATATAGTTGTGTTGGTTTAAACATTTTAATATTAGAAATTTTAGCAGACATTCACTTGCTAATACACTTAAAAAATAAAGGCAAAAAAACTTACATTTTACCAATTAGACATTAAAAAAAGAAGAAGAAAAAACAAGTCATAAAAATAATAATTAAACAAAAATTAAACTTACTTTCCCTAGCTAACCACAAACTAGTGCTATCTAATAATAAAAGTAGGTACTAAAGGCTTATTAATCACATATTAATCACAAGTTGGTAGAAAGGAAATAAAAGGGGACCATTTGTTTTTTTTAAATAACATCTTGTCTATTAGGGTATACCTGATTTTGTTCCTTGTGTAATGTACCCGTTTACTCTGTCAGCCATAATTTAAGTGTTGGAACGTCTTTTATTTATATGTATTACTAATTGTGTATGGGCCAATATATATCTTTACACATTTAATATATCGCTTTATTTTACGTTTTACACTGTAAGAACGTATTTAAAACTGAAAATCCTGCATCTTACTTCTAGCAGACATTGATCAATAGTCAAATGGGAGTGTTTTGCCTTCGATTAAAGCAGGTGATGACGTCGAATTTACATTAATAACAGTGGATGGAGATGTGAAGCGCGTCACGGTTCCGTCCATTTGGCCAATTGTATGCACGAGTTAAAGCACGTGTGTAATCATACACAGACCAGCGATTTCACCCAGTGCAATGTCCTTAAAAAGCTTATATACATTAACAAAAACACTATATAAATCTCATTAATGAGGAAACACGAGTATTTTCCACAGTCATTAAATGATCGAGTCGGGAAGCAGTTGTTTGCGTAAAGAAAGACCCTCTGACTGCAGCTTAGATTGACTATAAGATTACATTTTTTGGGTCACATTAAAGAAGCCTTTCAATTACAGCATGACAGAAGATTCATTTCGGATGGAGAACGGTTTTCTCGAGATGCTCCAGCTCCGGGATGCTTATCTGTAAATCCTACTATGGCGACGACTTTGCTTATGAATATTAATTACGTCCGTTAACGTTCAACATAATTTATTGGCTAGAAGGAAGGCGCTGGGTAAAGAGTGTGTGTCAGCTGGTGGAACGTCTCATGAATATTAATGACGCAACCTGACAATGGCGCAAACGATTGGCTGAAAGGGAGATGCTGGCTTCTGAGCGCTAGTCGATTGACATATCAATGAACTCTAGTACGGAAAAGGCTTGGCTACGAATGCTAAATAGATTACGTAACTAGACGCTCCAGGAAGGTTACCATGCAACGTCAGCGTGCCGATTAATATTAATAAGCCCATCCTTCGCCGTAGTAGGAATCGTTAATTTCGCCTGTAGTAGGGTTGCACCCCGTTACACGTCACACGCGCCTTCGTTACAGGGTGAAGATACAGGCAATGTCACACAGCCCTCCTCATCGTCACGACTAGAAATTCGCCGTATCTTCTGCAAAATAATTCTTGACAGCATTTGGGGAGAAATAATAACCGAAGCGCACTGGTGAGTGATGTTTAATGCTAATTAATTAGCGTTTTGAAGCTGATTTATAATCATAATTCTACATAAATTTGATTTAAATCGCTCGTACATGATTTAAATACCTCATTTATGTATAAATAATTGTCATATGTTGTATGTTTACGCTTCAGAAATGAGATTCAGTCATTTGGAAATTGATGTGAGCTCATCAGTGATGGATGCAGACATAATGTTAATCAAAAATAATAATGTTTGTTCATAATTATAACAGAGAACGTAATTTATTGCGTATAAAATATTTAATGGCGATGTTTTATCATTTAGCACATCATCTTGAGACATTAAAATTAATTTTTTCCTCCACACAAGCAGATTTTTTTTCTCTGTGGAAAAAACCGCTGTGGTTTTCCTCTCAGGACGATATTTGTTGTTTATTTAGCATATTTATGTTAAGCTATAATTGTCATAGGTTGAAGAATAGATTAAAATAGGAATTCATGAAAAAGCAATGAAGCCATAGAGACACAAGGCACCTTAAGCCTCGCCCCTTCACCTAATATCTCCATCAGAATAAGGCTGATTGGGTTTTCCATTCCATTTTCCTCACTGAATGATTTTGGCACAGTATCGAGTTTAATAGATAAATTCTCAATTGATTAAACACGGGAAATATATATTTAAGCGATGTTTGTAGCGCGCAATGTCTTGAAGCATATAAATGACCTTGCAGCAGACATGAAGAATGGAAACCTGCTCCATGTGTGTGTGCGCGCGCGCGTGTGTGAGTGTGAATCTGCTCGATGATTTATTCCACTGCTGATTGCATTTAGTCTTGTCACGACAGCATGTGCCATTTCATGTGCTTTTGACGGAATTGACAGTGAAGATCTACATGTGTCCGTGTCACTTGGTAAAATAAAGGCTTTGAGCTGGAAATGGCCAACCAATCCCTGCTGAGTGCCACGCAAATATTGTGCTTAGGTTGTGTGGAGATTAGTATTTGGCAGTTCTGAATAGGCAAAGCGTAATTGTGGTTTTGATTGAGGTTTACGTTGTTAGGACTGTTAGTATGCAGATTGTGCATTGGTGTATCTGTAGTAGCCTGTGTACCCTAATTTTGGTTGTATATTGACAGAATATATGCAAATAGCTGTTTAAAACATTGGTAGGCTCTTAGTACTTATATTTTAATTTGTGTGTTTGATAGTATTTTTTAGAATGTAGAGATTTGTTTGAATTTTTTATTTTATTTAGTTTTACCTTAAATGGTTTTATTTTGTTATTTTTTTATACTATTTTACTTTAATTTGTCATTTCATCATGGTAAAAATGTTAAAGTTATATATATATATATATATATATATATATATATATATATATATATATATATATATATATATATATATATATATATATATATATATATATATATATATATATAACTTTAACATTTTTGCCATGATGAAATGACAAATTAAAGTAAAATAGTATAAAAAATAACAAAATAAAACCATTTAGGGTAAAACAAAATAAAATAAAAAATTCAAACAAATCTCTACATATAGTTGAAGTCAGAATTAATAGCCGCCTTTGAATTATTTTTTCTTTTTTAAACATTTCCCAAATGATGTTTAACAGAGCAAGGAAATTTTCACAGTATGTCTGATGATATTTTTTCTTTTGTAGAAAGTCTTATTTGTTATATTTCGGCTACAAAAAAACAGTGTTTTAATTTTTTAAAAAACATTTTTGGGTCAAATTATTAGCCCCTTTCAGCTATATATTTTTTCGATAGTCTACAGAACAAACCATCGTTATACTTGCCTTATAACTTGCCTAATTACACTAACCTGCCTAGTTAACCTAATTAACCTAGTTAAGCCTTTAAATGTCATTTTCAGCTGTATAGAAGTGTCTTAAAAATATCTAGTCAAATATTATTTACTGTCATCATGGCAAAAATAAAATAAATCAGTTATTAGAAATGAGTTATAAAAACTATTATGATTAGAAATGTGCTGAATTTTTTTCTCTGTTAAACAGAAATTGGGGGAAAAATAAACAGGGAGGCTATGAATTCTGACTTCAAGTATACATATACATATGTTTGTGTGTGTGTGTGTGTGTGTGTGTGTGTGTGTGTGTGTGTGTGTGTGTGTGTGTGTGTAAAAAGTGAAGGTATAAGATTAAAAAAAATTATATATATATATATATATATATATATATATATATATATATATATATATATATATATGTGTGTGTGTGTGTGTGTGTGTGTGTGTATGTATACAACAACAATAATCCAATAGAATAAATAAAATATCATTCTTGTTTTTTTATTTAAAGTAAAACTAAATAAATATATATTAATTATAGAGAAATTTCAGAAAAAATACATTCATCAGTTGAAAATAAAATGTTGAAAAATAACCATAAAATCTTCCATAAAAAGCTTCCATAAAATAAAAAGTATAATGTTGATTTTTGTCCCTAAAAAGTGTATACATACATGCATATGTGTGTGTTTGTGTGTGTGTGTGAGAGAGAGTGAGTGTGTATAATCAATCATAAAAAAGTACATTAAACATAATCAAAATATAATAATTATAATGATAATAGGCCAGCACTGTGGCGCAGTGGGTAGCACAATCGCCTCACTTCAAGAAGGTTGCTGTTTCGAGCCTCGGCTGGGTCAGTTGGCATTTCTGTGTGGAGTTTGCATGTTCTCCCCATGTTCGTATGGGTTTCCTCCGGGTGCTCCGGTTTCCCCCACTAGTCAAAAGACATGCACTATAGGTTAATTGAATAAGCTAAATTTTCTATATTGTATGTGTGTGAATGAGTGTATGGGTGTATCCCAGTAATGGGTTGCAGCTGGAAGGGCATCCGCTGCGTAAAACATATGATGGATAAGTTGGTGGTTCATTCCCTTGTAGTGACCCCAGATTAATAAAGGGACCAAGCCAAAAATAAAATTAATGAATGATAATAATAATAATAATAATAATAATAATAATAATAATAATAATAATAAATATAATAATAAAATAGAATAAAAATATAATTAATGTTCTATTATAAGAAAAACTAAATAAATATATTTGTAATGTAAAGAAATAAAATAATAAAAAACAAAAATGAACAAAACTGTTGCATAAATACATTTTTCACATCACACTTTTCTAACTGTGATGTGCAATAACACAGATCATTAGTTTAAGAAGCTGTTTCATATATATCAGTTCAGTTTAAAAGTGACCAAATGTAGACCTTCAGAGCAGAGCGGTTTGTCCTAATGTGAATTGATCTGCAGTGGTTTGAGCTCCGGTCCTCTGGTGGCTCCATCGGAGCTTCTGCTGCTCAGGATTGCAGCTGTTTCTCAATCATTGTGTGCTCGGAGCGCTGTGCTGCTCTTTTCAACACTAACCTTGAGAGGAATCCTCAGAGGAGAAGACAGAGAAACAGGGTCAGAGAAAGGCTTTCACGTCTCTGATCTCTGCTGCTGATGATGGTTTATCTGACTGGGCCATCGTTCACAACTCATTCAGGAGTCAGGAGTTGGATAAGCGCTTGAGTTTGGTGCAGACAGGGCCTAAAATTAACTCTCGCCAAGAGCCAAATGCTAGTAAAAATCAATGCTGGCGAGGGTATGAAACAGAGTTACTCACCAGTTGGCTGGTACCTGCGAACATGATATGGTTTAGTAAGATTTAAAAGTAACAAATATTGGGATGTACTGTAATGATGTCAATATTTATGATGAGCTATGGTCTTTCAGTCAACACTGCTGCACATGATCTCCATCTCTGTTAATGCTGTGTGTTTGAGTCACTATAGTTGGTATTTAAAAATGCAACAGACATCTTCACAATCTTGCAATGAGAACCATTTATAAAAAGAGCGCTATATCAAGAGGAGTTTCTCTGTGATTTTCAGCCAAAATAAAAGTTCTTTAGTTTACCTTTTAAATGAATAATAATAACTAAATGTTGGATTTAGTAATTTTATTGATGTTATTTAAAATATTAGCGGTAAAAACAATTAATAATATTGCTAAATGCCGAACAATTTGGTAGTTTTGTAGTGAACGTTATTGAGTTCACTTGTATTTTATGAAACCATAGTAATAACACCATTGATAATAATAATAATACAAATAATAATAATAATAATAATAATACTAAAAAATGGCAAACTATTAAGTATTCCCCATAATTTTTAGGCCCTGTGCACAAATTTCACGAATTGGCGAAAACAAAAACTGCACAAATACATACCTCCTGGCACGTATTTCGCGGTCTCCAGAAACATCCGCGGGACTACGTTTTCAGAATGAGCCTGGTTTGGACCGTTCCTATGGTATATGTAAGATTTTTTATTTACATTTATTTAGGACAACAGTATCTCCAGCTGAAAAGATCTCCAAAAAGGTCATTTTAAATTGTAATGAAATCTGTGTTTTAGTGACTAATGAAGAGAGCAGAATCAATGATTCATTTGGATTATTTAGCCTGACATGTTTGCTGCTCCAAACTATTATAAATGCTTCTCAAAATTAAATATATTGTGTTCAAAGGGAAAAAAAGTTTTAGATTTTTTATCCAGTGTTAATCAAAGGCGGCAACACCAAGGCTCCAAAAATACAAATTTATTAAAATAAAAAGGCTGACACAAAGCGTGTAACATTTCGAGCCACCCGGCTCTTCATCAGACCATCAAATTTGTATTTTTGGAGCCTTGATGTTGCCGCCTTTGATTAACATTAATTAGCACTTTTTGCGGTTTTGGCTGAGCACCCAGTTAAGAGAGATGTGCGTGCTTTTGTACAGTTTTTTCAGATTTTTTATCCAGACATTTAAAACGAGTATATTTTAGAGCTGTAATCACAAAACCATCAAACCATGACCTTTTATACAAGGTTATCATACCCTCATAATCTTATACCGGCCCATACCCATTCAGCTATCATCCTGTTTTCTACATGTGGTTTGTCGAGCCCACTCACCTGTGTCAATCACACT